ATATAAATAAATAGATTAAAAGTATTAAAGCTACACATTAGTTGTTTTCTCTAACTACATTCACTAGACAATACTTTTTCCGACGCCCATTTGTCATGAGGACTCGGTTCTAGGGGACACTTGCGGACATGCTTCGCATGGATTGGATGTGTGATAACGCATATTAGCGCTGCCAACGCGAGCAACATTCGGTGTACGACCATCACGGATCGGCGTACATCGAGCAGTTAATTATGTCTATCTGCCTTATCATTTCGATCTCATTCTGAAAATGTATTTCTATTTTATATATATTCACCGAGGAGTCATCAGTGCTTCGCAAGTTTCGCCACTGTTCAACGATAGTCGTAAGTAGGGTTTCCAGGGTTCGTGGCTCACTCTATAGGAGGCTATGTGGGTATAGTTGTATTCACAACTATGTACAAATCGCATCTAGCGAGGCGAAGATGTTGGTTGCACCCGTAATAACCTATATCAAGCCAAACTAGTAGCAGATAGCGGGTAGTAGCATATATACCAGGTTCCTTTGCACCTGACATACTGTATGGCAATTGCTCGTATGCCTTTCAACGCTGTACAGGCTCATTCACGGTTGATTCAGGCGGTGAACATGGGCACCATATGAACCATTCCACTTGAACTGCTCGCAAACAGTATGTGCCATTAGTAATATAGCCACGTGATAAAGTCATCCTCAGATATCAGCTTCTACCCGACGGATACGCACACACGCTGTACAGCATCAATTTTACCGTACGACTGAATTGATGACGCTTTGTTCAGAGCTAATGCGATGCAGTATCATTTGACATCCATTTCCAGTGCCAAAATAAACTTGAAGCCAAATTGAAGCGACTGCCACTGTGCAGAACCAGAAATTTATAGAAGCGCTCAGCACTTCACGATATATGTAAGTGAACCCTGCTTAAATACCATCAGTCCTCACTAGGTGCGCATATCGACAGAGGACCTACCCCATTTGACCTAACACTCGTGGTCTACTCCTTTGTTTTTTGAAAAGGTAGTCTATGAGCTGACAAGTAAAAATTGCACTGACGAGATTTCGCAACTATCGTCGCCTTAGTAACGATGCCTTAAATATGATGCAAGGAATGATCTCTATGGTCGGCAGCCCTAAAATGCACGAAGTTGCATTAATCTACTTTAGAACACAGAAACATACATACACCTTTGTAGATGTCTTCTGACAGCTGGTACATACTAGCGCATATTGGCACGTTGTTCGTACCTAGTAGGTCAAGTCGGCTTGTGGTATGTATATCGCCGACATATCAAGCGCAAAACCACTTTATCGCTAACTGACGAGATTAATTTGCCGAGTTCATTAACGATCATTTTGTCAAAACCTGAGTGTTCTACACCGGTCTACTTATGTTAGTATGCGGTACTGTTATGGTGGCAGAGCCCCTGTCTGACGGTCACGCTGATTAATCAGCCTAAATTTTATTCAAAGTTTGGCAGGTAATTTCATAAGATATGTAGCCAATCTGGATCACTACTGTGCTGTACCACACCACTGCCGCCCACTGTAGTCTCCCAAACGTCGTAACCTTCAGCTCGCAGAGCCGAGTTCATCTGTGCAATCGCGGCCCCGTCAGTACCTGCGATATCAGAGATACATGGGTTAAGTATATATTTATAAAATGGGAACTCTCTATATATATATATTTATGATGTCAAGGCGTATTCAGTGATTTACGTGGTATCCTGCAGAGAGATTTCTACGAGTAACTCAGTTGTATAGTACTGAGTGTTCCGTTGGGAAGTCAAATGTGAACACTGATATGTCACGATACACTATCCGACTCGTTACCCAAAGAACTATCGATAACTCATAGACTCCCTACTCACGTGCTTCTGATCAGTTCGACTACCCAACTCATAGTCACCCTTTACTCCATAGACATACACAATTCGAAATATACAAGTTCAACCAATTCACAAATACACACAAACACAGAAAGATGTAAACTGTCTAATTTAGAAGGCTATGTAAACCAGTATATAAATAGCACTTCACTATATTTTGTGCCATTGTCCGTCTCGTCCTTGTCGTGCACACAACCGTTGTGTGCGGCCAGAGCACATACCTGATGGGATCAGAGTCATCGTACATCCACCTCCACCGGCACCCGTGAGTTTAGTGTGGAAGCCGAGTTGTCTCGTTATTTCGACTACATTAGATATAGAGGGGTGGCCCACACCCACTGATTGCAGCAAGCCTTGATTGAGGTCTACAAGACACTGGAAATGAACAGGCACATATGTTGGTTACTACACCTGGAGAACAACCTTAATCTAATCAAAGTGAAAACACCGTGCCATACCCAAGTCAATACATTGAGGTAGAATGGATACGAATTTGCGGCATACACAGAAGATATGGCGACGGCAGCCACTGAGAGGGCTATACAATTTAGCATCTATTCAACACGAATAGTCATGAAAATTGCATGTTGCAGTGTATAGGTACACTATGAGGATATGTCCACAAAGGTATAGATGCAGAGAGCATTAAATATTACGAAGGTAGCACTGGTAAAGTATATGTACGTAGCATGTATGGAGGCACAGTGGGATGTACCGCGATGCAAATGGCGTATACACACACAAATATACATATACATACATACACACACACATATATATACATATTCATATACATACACACACATATATATATATATATAATACCAGTCACCAGCCTACAGAACAATGCCAAATTTCATAAAAAAAAGTACCTGCGACGAAGTATCAGAAAGCCAGCCCAAATAAAGATATATTGGTTGGGCGCGTAGAAAGTACACCCACGCTCTTTCACAGCGAATTATATGCACGCGATTCTCTCATATCTCACATACCTCGAGCTCCGAAAAGAGTTGCGAGACTACTGCCGTTGCATTGACCTTCAGCAAGGTCTGTAGTATATCCAAGGCTTTCAAACTGATGTTCTCCACAGCTGAAAAGTGCGTGATCGCAACATACTTTAGTGGTGTTGATAAAAATAGAATGTATATACATTATGCAGTAAAACAGGCAAATGTAATTTTATAGGGTCAGATATACAAAGTCCTGCTCTACCAAGCTGCCGACTGAGTGAATGTATCGGAGTATTGTGCGAGGAAAGCACACTCGCATGCTCTTGTGATATTAAAAACCTCAGTATTGACAATATCGTTGACACGTACATTATTCCGTCCACACTTATCACTAGGAACGATGTCTTGAAATGGCCACGAATTTAGCACCATGATGTTGACAAAAGACTATGATTGCGCATGAAGAAGCATATATGCGGACAAACTTACCGATGAGTATGGGATCCACGACAGAAGGCAATAGATCCCTCCTTCTCCGAACTTCGGCAACTAATAACTGTGGAAATAAGATTGAAAAAAATGCATATCTAAATTAAAATTGACTCTTCTTGCGAGAAAGAATATCCGCTAGGCCTACCTAGTTGAGATTCGCGACAAAGCACAATACATATGTGCCTATATTTGTGATAGCCGATCGTGGGGAACCAAATACCGGCATGTGCCATATGTCGCAAAGAGCAACCCACCATATCAATAGAAAGACGACAAATAGAGCCTTCCCCGGGCAGCAAAACCCCGGCCTTTAGTAGAAACGGTTGGGCGGTTTCAGGTTCGTGTGACACAATGACTCGCACAGTTTAAAGCATGCACAAATGATCATAGATTTACTTGTACACTTCCACATCGATGGTACTCTCGAGGGATAACAATATCAACACAAATGTGAACGCGTCGTGTGCTCAGACAGGCACATGCCGAGGCAGTCGTGTGTTTCAGTACGTGTGGTTGCTCCAAAATCTCTTAGCGAGTGTAAGCAGAGAAAATTCTCAGCTCATTTTAATAGTATTAAATCTAACGATACGAGAGAAATATTTGCGCCCCCTCTGTAATCCAATTAATATACGCGCACAGATATTGACTCCGTATGCTACTCTTTGACGTAGATATGAAGTCGTAGAATCGTGTACTATCTTATAAGAATAAAAAAGCATAACCACATTGTTGACCAACACAAGCAAAGCATGCCTCGTCCACGTAGTCAAAAGTACCGATATTTACAAAGAACAACTCGACGATTTCAGCTATGAGAGAAATTGTTTCCGAGTTTGGGAGGTCAATATAATTTACTAGTGCTAATGGTTATTTCATATCTCAATCGGACAACCCAAGAGTGCACATCATGCACAACCATGTCTTAAGAAACTCACCTTTGTACTTCGGGGCACCATGGTATTCGTCAGATATATTTTCAGCTTGGGCATATCCACATTTTGCATGGGCGCGCCTCTTTGAAACCTAATTGCCGATCCGTAGCAACTGACTGTATTGTCAATACCAGAGGGTAATCCGTGTATAATGCACTCTGCCGCGAAAGCCCACACATTGATGATCTCTTGCTCTTCGCTCGACCAGGCGATAATCGCGGGTTCGCTTTGCATCTCATTTGCAAGCTTCTTATCACCCGTCTCACCACAATCATTGTCTTGAGAGTTCCGTGTATTGCTATCGACTATTTTGACATCCTTTGTATCGTCTTCGATTTCATGTTCCATATCCATGCTGCACAGGTTTCGTATTTGACCACCACTTGCTAGCATAGCGGCAGCTAGTGCAACAGAGAACGCCGCGGACGATCCAAGACCCGCACCAATTGGTAGCTGCGACTTTACATGAGCATGCATGACCCTCATTTTCCTACAGCGCGTATTATCTCTTACCAAATCTATGTTAGCTGATATATCGGTATTGGGGTGTGTATCTATTTCTGTTCGGACATCTGTATTCCTTTCCGTTGACGTGTTGTTGTTTGGCTGTGTTTGTGCAGCTGTGTGCTTCGAACACGAACCCGTACATATATATAAGTACAAGAACACCGCAGCGGCTACTAGCGCTGTGGGGCACACTGACTCACCACCAATTGTGTCGTGTACAAATTGTGTAATGTGTTCTATATCAGCTGCGAGCGGCTTTCCGCATTCTTCTAGACGTACATCAATTAGTAAACTAAGGTCTTTTACTTCTTGTATGCTCCACTTTACGTCCAGGTCCTGTACATCCTTGGTGCTGAACCGTATCGTATCCCTATCAACCTGCACTAAACCCCCTTGGTCTCCAATACTGTCATCATGTTCTAAGCTATCATGCGAGCTCTCCACGTTATATTCATTTATCTTCACTGCTGTTCTCAATCCTAGTCCGGCAGCCACGGCGGCCTTCCCATGCACTACCGCATGCTCACCGAAAAGGATAAGTTTTCCTGGTGCAGAGGTGGTAATGGACCTATGCATAATAGTTGACTCCGCTATAGGGTCCGGTCTGCTGATAGTGGGTGCAGTGATTGCAGTCAGCATAACTAATTCTAAACTACAGAATATGGTGTGAGAGACCAGTTCACACTGTGTTTAAAAAACACTTTTAGTTTAGTTTGTAAATTTAAATCTTATCGGTATGTATGTCTTTTCTGTGTTATATGCGACTATTCTATCCACCTAATGGTCCGTCTTATGCTTTAAAATGTAATACACTCGACTAGTCACTCTAGTGATGATAATCGACTTTTAAGGAAGCAATCTATACATAAACGAGCAATTCTCAAGTCTTATCTCCTGAAGGATACTTCCTTCCTCACAAAAGTCGACTTCGAAATTTCAAAAAGTACACATTGTACACTTCTTCATTTAGGCCAGTGAGAGCAGAGAACAATGAACATCCCCCACTGATAGATCCACCATCAACATCATTGTTGAACGCCGAATGGAACACTTTTAAAAAAAGTAAAAATGTCGACGACCCATCAACGGTGTGAATGTGATCGGTCATCGGTGTCATTATATATTATCGAACGATCAATATGACCGACCAATCGGATCTGCGATGATGTACTACCTTTTTTTAGAAAACAAATTTCTTTCCAAACAAATTAAAAAACCTAGTTGTCAGTATGGCACTAAACATAGTTTTTTGAGATAAGATATAAACCCCAAAAACATAAAATAACCCTCTCGTCATCATTCTTCACTCCACCGCATCAGTCACAGACTCCCAGCGTTCACTCTCCTCTGGCCCGCCACTTTCGGTTCTTGGTTGAAGTGAAGGCTCTGGAGTCTATTTATGTGTATGCACGTCAGGACTCAGGAAGTATATATTTATATATGTATGTACATATTTACACGCTACCTATATTATCCTTAGCATTGCAAGGTCATCTTCCTGTGAAAATACCCCGGTAACTGGGACCAATACACTGGTATCCTGATATAAACAGCTTGGCCTGCCCTCACAAGTGGCGCAGTTATTCACGGTTGCTGACATGTCCAATCCAGCAGCGCTCAAAGCTGCCGCGCTCGCAGCGGCAAAGCTCAACGAGCGCTTAGCGGCAAAAGGACTTACTAATGTCAAACCACACTCTAATGTGAAACTTCCTGCATCTGTGCAAGCAAGCTCAGCCTCCTCATCGCTTATGCGTGATATAGAGGTGAACAACGTACCTGCTATGATACGCTTAGAAGTTACACGCCAAGCGTTCCATAACCAATTGCAGAGCGAGTTTGGAGTCAGTGTGTGTACTAAAGGAAGGTATTGCGAACCCGGTACATCCTTGCCTGATAATGAAAGACCCTTATATCTCTCTCTGTGGGCCACCGAACCAGAGTCGCTGACAAAAGCTGTGGCAAAAGTTACAGAGAAATTAAATTCGGATGCTGGCTACACCCACCCAGTTAATGGGACACACACAACTACTTCCGGTGGAAGCACTGCTTTCCCAACACCTGTGACGGTGACTGTGCCTACCGGGCCTACGGCAGGACATACACCATCTGCACATGTTCATGTATGTATTGTATTGTTGTCTCCAACACCTGCTCGTCTTTTGTGGTCAGCTTTCTCGCATTGATTTTAATAGTGTAGTGTTTGGCTTTCATACATAAGAGTACAAAACGCGAACAGATACAGCGATTTCATTGTGTGGTATGTGTATACTATTCTACAGGATCCCGCACATAGTCACCAATACACATACATACATACGTGCATATACATACATATTCTTGTATAAATATACATACAAGCACTTATTATATATATATGTATATATATATAGACAGACAGACAGACAGACAGAAACGCA